TATTACCCTTGTATTTGTTGTGTTGTAGAAGGATGAAATGTGTGAGAATGGTAATGTACTCAAAATTATCATGAAATTTCCTTTTGTCTATTAGATATTAAATTCTAATATGTACTAAATTTGTGAGATTGGTTTGATTGTTGGATGAAATGCACGAGAATGGTGATGTATGGACTTTGATTACAATATCTCTACGAATATTAATTGGAAAGCAAGTTTTTTTTTTATATTGAAAAACATATTGATATTAGGTGGTTTTTTAGGGGCGGGTACCCTATGACCCGCCTCTTTTTTTCGAGTACTGGAAGATATTATGAGTGGGTTAGGGTTACAAAATGATTGATCCGATATATTAGGGTTGGGTCAATCAAATCATGAAAGGGGCGGGTACCCGACCGTGTCCACCCCTAATTTCAGGTGTTATATTTTTGAAAATATGATATTTATTTGAAAACTTGTATAAATATAAGAAAGGATAATAACTATTAATATGTATATATATATATATATATATATATATATATATATATATATATGATATGTTAGGTCAAATTTGAGTGTGTTAATGAGTGCTTATTAGATACTTGCTAAAAAACTCTAAAAGATTTATAGTACTATACAATGGAATAGGAAGAGGCGCGGACTAATTTGCTCTCTTATTTGTGACCTGATATAGAAAGTTTTAGCACATTGCTTCTAGCAGACCAAGTCCAGCACAATATTACTATAGCCTATTACTAGTCCAACATAATATTAAAGTAATATTTCTACAGCCTATTAGTAGTCCAACGTAAGGCGTGACCCAATTCTGTTTCTTGCTCTATATAAAAATATTCAAGTTAAACACTTCTTTAATTTATTACTTTTGCAGGATAGATGGTAAAAGAATGATATAATAATCCTTTTAAAACTCGCAATCCTTTTGAAAAACGTATAGGAGTTACAACCTCAATGCATAATCATTGACTTTTTTTCTTTTTTTTTTTTGTTACAAAACATATTTGTCTAGATCCATTTTATGATATCAAATTGGCATTAATATCAACCCTAACAACAATAAAAATTCTTGACTTTTTATAAAGAATTTGTGACTAAAATTGTGATTAATAATGACAAAAAATTTTCATTTTTTGAAATATTCCAACATATGTTAAATACGTCGAGCAGGGCTTTTTTTAAAATTAATTTTCCAATAAAGGTACTTTAATGATAATACACTATAAGCCATCGGATAGTAGATTATCTGAGATAATTTTAAAAAAATAAAAATACTATAGCACTTTTTTTGATATGATGCACATGAGATAAAATGATGGTTAGAAAATGCAAGTAAATAAATTTTGACAGATAATTCCTCTGATGTGATTCACTACCTAATAGTAACACATATTCAATGGGTAAACAGAGGAATTCCTATTATTTTATTTAAGCCACCTGACCTGATGCAACTTCTAATCCTCAGTTGATTTAGAAATCAAAGAAAATAATTCCTCTGATGTGATTTACTACCTAATAGTAACACATATTCAATTGGTAAACAGAGGAATTCCTATTATTTTATTTAAGCCACCAGACGCAACTTCTAATCCTCAGTTGATTTAGAAATCAAAGAAAATTAACGTTTCCGTTTGAATTTAGATAACAAAATTAATAGGAAACAAATTGACCAGTTTTTTAGAAGTTCAAAGAAAAGAAAACAGCTAAAAATTCTGAATTAAGTTCGTGTTACATTTTTATTCTGCTAAATAACATTTGTTACCTATCATCACTCCAAGCATCTACATAAATTCAAGCTGAAAAAGACAAGAAAGCAACAAGTATCTTCCAAATCATGATGTTTTCAGCTTTGGTCTGGATAACTTTCACAGTACTTGCAACTGTTCTTCTCTTCAATTCATTGTTGATCAGAAAGAACAAGAAGAAGAAATTGCCCCCCAGTCCGAGAGGACTTCCTATTCTAGGACATCTTCATCTGTTGGGGAAAAATCCTCACCAGGATCTGCATAAGCTGTCGAAGCAATATGGTTCTATCATGCATCTACGATTCGGATTCATATCAAACATCATTGTTTCATCCCCCCATGCGGCTGAGCAATTCCTGAAGACATATGATCTTGTTTTTGCCAGTAGGCCACCTCATGAGGCTGCAGAGTACCTGATGTTTGGGCAAAGAAGCCTGGCCTTTGGGAAGTATGGCCCATATTGGCGCAACATGCGTAAATTATGCACCTTAAATTTGCTTAGTAATCTTAAGATCGGTTCATTTCAGTCTGTGAGAAAGGAAGAGCTTGGATTGTTTGTTGAATCACTCAAACAGGCGGCTCTTAATCAAGATGTTGTTGATATTGGTGCTGAAGTTGCTGCCTTAAGCGCGAACATGACTTGTCTGATGGTGTTTGGAAAGAAGTATGCTGATAAGGAATTCGATGAGAGAGGCTTCAAAGCAGTAATTAAAGAGGCTATGCAATTAATGGCAACACCTAACCTTGGGGATTACTATCCTTTTCTTAAGGTACTTGATCTTCGAGGCTTGACCAGGAGAATGAAGACTGTCGGCAAGATTTTTGATGAATTCTTGGAGAAGATTATTGATGAACACGAGCAATCTGCAAACCAAGCTAGGCAAGCTGATGACTTTGTCTATACCATTTTGGCCCTCATGAAATCTAAAGAAACTGAATTTGAATTTGATCGCCGCCACATCAAAGCAGTTTTGGTGGTAAGGAATGCATGAATTAAGTTTACAATCTCCTCTTAAGTTGGATGCTCCATTTCTTTCTCAAGTCTGCAATGATCCATGGCTTACTTTCTCAAAGGCCAAAGCCTTTGTCGTTTACATAGCCAACACAACATTTTAGTTTGCTCCTGGTGATCATTTCTTGCTTCTTACTTTCCATCAGTCTTTATATTTACTAGCTCAAGTCACAGTAGGATCTCTCTGAATTCTGAATCAACTTCTCTCTAATCATGATTGACAAGTGTCAGGTTAACTGATGGTGTTCTATTGTTAGTCCACTAGGGTGTGAGAACTTTCTGCCATTGCTTTCCCTTAACATTAGTTAATCTCCTGAAACATAGAGATTAAAAAAATATGCATCTTCATTTCAGGACTTGCTTACTGCAGCAATGGACACTACAGCTACAACTGTTGAATGGATACTCGCGGAGCTCTTGAAAAACCCCCGAGTAATGAAGAAAGTCCAGCAAGAATTGGACGAAAAAGTAGGCCTACACAGGATGGTTGAGGAATCAGAATTGGAAAACCTGACATACTTAGACATGGTTGTAAAGGAAGCATTAAGGCTCCATCCTGTTGTACCATTACTTCTTCCTCATGCAGCCTTGGAGGATTGCATAGTTGACGGTTTCCATATACCGAAAGATTCCCGAGTGACGATCAATGCTTGGACGATCGGAAGAGATCCAAATGCATGGTCTGATCCTGAGAAGTTTACACCAGAGAGATTTATTGGGAGCAACATAGATGTAAGAGGACATGATTTCCAGCTTATTCCCTTTGGCTCAGGCAGAAGAATCTGCCCTGGAATGCAGTTGGGGCTAACTGTGGTCCGTCTTATGTTGGCACGAATGGTGCATTGTTTCAATTGGGAACTTCCAAATGGGATGCTGCCTTCAGAGCTAGACATGACCGAGGAATTTGGCCTTGTGATGACCAGGGCCAAGCATCTGATGGCTATTCCAACATATCGATTGAGCAAATGATTAAGCAGGTCTTGAGAGATGCATGCTATTTCTATATTGCACCTTATATATTAAGGTCTACTCTGCTAAGTTCTTGAAATGATAAATGGTTGTCAAGAATAGGTAGGTATTCATGACAGAACCAAGTACTTTTAAAAGCTTCTTCTTTTGTCACTTATAAAGTATGAAAGATGGAATCTTTTGCACAAAATTCTGTACAGTTTAAATTAGGATTACTGCATTTTTCTTTTATATTCTCTTATAAAGTATGCATGTTAATTTGAAAGAATAGAAGCTATAAAAGTAGATAAAGAAATGGGGAAATATTTTCTGTGTTTCTCAGTTGTTTAAAATGATATAGAAGCCCAAGCACAACAGGAATTGCTCACCAAATATGAGAAACCATCAGGGACAAAGCATCAACAGTGATAAGTCAGCAGCGTTCTTCAGCAGAAATTGCAGCAGACAGCAAAGGAAGGATATCTGTAAACAGTTGGTAAGTGGCTTCGAAGGGCTAAACTTGATTGTTGCGGTGAACTGCACGGATTGCATAATACATTGAAACAGGGGACATGAACATCTTTTTGAATATTGGATCCTGCGTTCTCGTATGATCATTAGGAGGGCTCCTCATTGTACAATTTCTCATCCATGAGAATCCTACAACTATGAGATTTTCATCCATTTTCCCTACCTATTGATCAAAACCTTGAATAACTAGCTGAGTTTTTATTGAAACCGAGCACTTTCCGTAAAATAATAAGGGCAAAGGACGCTAATTGATAGGTAAAACAAAAAACTATATGCGGTTCCAAAACCCCAAGTCAAGCAATTTGGGATTTTACACTTTTACAGAAGGGAAAAATTCGATAAATGGTCCTTGTACTTTTTTCAAAGTTTCATATTTGAAGTAGCCTCCAAAGTATACCCCAGGTTGTGTTTTGACCTGAAAAGCATGCGAGCATGTCTCATTGCCAAAAGTGTTTTACTTACTGTTATAGGCTTTGAATTGTCAGGCAAAGTTGGTGGGTCGTTTGCTCCCTGTTCTGATCAGTATGTTGAACGCCTTTTTGTTTCATGAGAAAATGGAATTGAATATTTCTCCGGACGCAACAAAAGTTTCAAGAGCTATTGCAGAAACGTAACAACCACTAGTGGGAAGAAGCCTTCGAAAGCTACCAGTAACTCTCGATACAGCCTCATGCAAAGCGTTAAAGGCCACTAAATCATTAAACAAAAATCAGTTTGTTAATGGCGAATTGAAGATCCGTATCCAAATCACGATCCCGACACCAGTATAAACAAGAACATGAAAAACACTTGAAACAGTAATGGATCATGAGATAAAATATGATTTTGAGGCCCTAATTCGCAAGTTAAATGTGCAAAAAGGAGTACAGGCGCCAATACCAAGCGATTCCTAAGCACTAAAGTGTAGAAGTTTTTTGTGATAATGAATAAATCGCGAAACAGATACAAAGCATCACAGAAGGCTCGGCAGAAACATGTAGAAGCATCAGCACCAATCTGCAGAAGGAAAAAATTCACGCATAGCTTTTCGGCTAGAATTCAAGTCCAACATGTTCTCAGGCAAATATTGCCAAAAGGGACCCCAACGCCAACCTGCGAGGATGTAATTACAATCTCACATTATTGGACATATCTCTGTAACATGCAAAAGTAATCGCCAAATGCATTCCCAACAAAAGTCACAGATAAAATCTTACGCGGATGTCATGATGTCAGCATGTATTCAAGCTTTCAAGACAGCTTTGTGAACCATCGTCTCCTTGTGAATTTGATGGCAACTCTTTTCCACAAGATCAAGAAGCTTTTCTAAATTCATAGCCCATGAATTCAAGATATCATTGCTATCTTTTGCTTTTTGGAAACAGACTACTCCCAGTGGCCTGTCAATCTTTGCAACCAGTGCTGTGGAGACAACCATATCTGACAGATGCTTCTCAGCCTCCTGCAATAGGGAGAAATCGAATAGAAACACGTATAACATTAGAGAAGACGACGAAAACAATGTGTTCGAAATATCTGCAAAATCACATTTTCAAGAAAACTGCAAATCTTCCGAGACTGTAAAAGAAACACGGCCAGGGTTTCAATTGTATAACGACACTCTTTCTATGCAAATATTGGCTAAATAACCAAAATACAGTTACCAGACAGTAAGAAATTACGGGTTCTTTGATTTGAAAAAAAAAAAAGAAGATTGCTGTAAAGTTAACTCCCAAAGGGAGTTCTACTTGGTGAAGTGAAAAACAAAATCTTGCAAAAGGATTTCTTGCACGAAGGATGGAAAAAGAAAGGACAGATCATGTAATTGAATGGGAAAAAATGGAAACACCAGGCAAAAGAGGACAACTAGATATAATAGATCTGAATCACTGAATAATTATGACATAGCCCTCTAAAGCTTATAGGCACATAGATATCCCAAAACCACAAAGCCCGGTTTAAAAGGTAAATTCAGATAAAAAGGACCTACCAAGGGTTCATTATGCAGGGTAAATGCCTTTGCAGAACTGCATTATGCATATATGATGATGGGGTACAGTATATGCTTCTATATAGAGTATGCAGTAGGATGAACGATGGAAAAGTCTGTACTGCTAAAGCAGTGAAACAGGAGAAAATCTGAGAAAAAAATGCTAGCATCCCACTTTTTCTCCTTTGTTACAATCCAGTCCAGGTCCATCATGATCCAAAGAAATCCTTTTGGCCCTTCATGTTTGGTTTCATGGCACTTACATCTCATGTTTCCATGTTCAACATGCTTGATCACTAGAGTTTCCATGATTCTATTTGATACGGCTAAAATATACCAACATCCATAGTTACAAAAACAAATGGCACCAGATGTTTCAAAATTTAAACACAAGGGCCTACATAGGAACAATTACATAATATAAGCAAGTAAAAGTGTTCAGCTGAAACACAGGAACCAAAATGGAAACCAGTCAAGAACTTTGGGGGCTAAATCTACAATCATCCCAGCTTTAAAAAGCATGAGGGACAAATGAATTGGAATTAAAGTTTGTAAGGGTCTTGAAAGAGGAAAGACATAAAGTAACCAAGCACCATAAAGTCTATTATATGTGCAGGAAGAGGATAGCAGATGATAAATTAAATAGAGATTTGGAGGGTACAGAATTTCCATCATAAATTCTTCCTATAGCACAATAGCAGCAAGTTTAAGGCTTTCTTTTCAATTGGTATAGGGAAGGACGAAAAAGGGGGGGGGGTGGTGGTTTACCATCCTAGTCTCTATATATAACACAGCTGAAATGAATATAAGAAATTCTAGGTGCACGTCATAAACCATGAGAGACATGAAATGGCTCAAAAGCATGTATAGATACTTAGGTGAAATAAGGGCACTTTAAACTGATTTCAACATACATCCAGTATGCAGTTTCAGAAAAGAACCAAAACATGCACCTACTACAAAACTAAGCCATTCTCTTTGGTGTTAAGACTTTTTCACATTATTACATTCATAACTGTTCTACAGTTCAGCACAAGAAAAAAGTTTAATTGACGTATCATGCCAAACATCTTTAAAACCAAAATACTCAGAAAATTCTGTCATTAACTTGAACAATGTATCATATATCATGTCAAACAATTTTTTCATCTTAATTTCAAGTTCAAGTTACAGAAACAAATCGTATGGTATGGGCATGGGCAATTAATATTTATTAGAAGCTTCTTACTGACCAAACACAAAATGATCCAGAATCCTGATTAAACTCATCTTACAAATGAAGTTGAAAAATAATTAGAACCCAGTAGAGTTGATACAGCAATAATCCGTGTTTTGTTAACCACATTGCGCAGCTGCTAGCACAAGACCATAGGAGAAATGGGGAAAGAAAGGACAAAAGGGAAAAAAAATTGGAAGAGAGAAGGAAGGTTATTTGACATAAAGCAACACCTGGTGAGACGTAAGCCCTAGCAATCCATGTCCAGCACATCATCAGTTCAATCATTTCCATTCAAAAGAAAAAGGAATTTTCACATAAAAGGAAGATTTCATTCACCAGTATTGTTTTTGTCACCATCATCATTATTTATATCACCATATGAAACAGCTTAAGTGTAAAAACCACAAGATGTACAAAAAAGAAAGAAGATTTTTGCTTTTGTTTTTTTGTTGTTGTTTTGGGGGGGGGCGTCGCTGAGGAATAACAAGTTTGCTGCAAGTACATAAAAATTATAACTAGAATTGATTTACTTTCTGCAGGAATGGGGAACAAAGTATAATATCTTTCTATATATAAAGCATGAGTCTGATGTTAATGAAGTTTTTTAACCCCCAATTCATCAACCACTAAGAAACTACCACAAATCATAACACTGAAAACACCAACACAACCCATGTAATGAAAGATGAAATTGGACAAACCTCTCACACAAAATTAATGGAATATCAAGGTAGTTTTATAACTACCCCTAATACTTCACGGTAGTTTTATAGCCATCCGTAACTTCTATTTTTTTTAAACAAATGCAGATGGAACTACTAGTGTTACAAGAAATGAAACAAACCTGGATACTTAGACACAGTAAATCTGCAAGTCTCTTCAAGGTTACTCGTGAATAATACTTTGAGACAACAAGGATATTCTGCATTGCAAGAATACTTCTGTAGATTAGTGATCATTGATTTACTAAGAAAATCAAAAGAGACAACAGACTGCTATAACAGCAGTAAATTCAGGGGGTGTAGTCATTATGAAAATTAGACATATCACATAGATTAAAGATTTCCAGGAAATTACGTGTTCTATTACTCTGAGTCTAAGGTCCTCAGCTGCTTTATCAGCTAAGGAGCCACCAAGCATGTTCTGCTCATTGTCAAACTCTTCTTTAAATGTATTCCACAAGGCTGTCCACTGGATGACCTCCATTGTAATCAATTGTTTCAAAAGCAGCCTTATCACAGAATCAGGCCCAAATTAGTGTAACTCAGATGCAGCACAGACAAGAGTAGGCCACAAGGAAAACAGAGGAAACTGAAAAATCTTATACAGGACAAACCTAAAATGAGGAATTTCTGAAAGATTTTTGTCCTCCAAAGTTGAGTTAAGAAGACTTGACTGCATAGAATCATGTGGTGAAAGCACCAAATACCAGCATATTTTCCTCAGCACCTGCACAAATGATGGTAATGAAAGAGATCAGCAGAGCTGAAAGAAAATCTGTTCAACTGTCAACCAATCTTTAATTTATGACACAATATCTAATCAAGTAGAATAAAGATATGTTCATGGAAGAGGTCCTTTACCGGAACCCATTGTGTAGGGTCCTCTTTAACAGAGGGGATGTCATATATTGCCTTGTAACAGCGGCATATTTCAAGATAATCATTGCTATGTGAATGGTACCTATACAGATAAGATTGAAATAGTAAGCAGACAGGTTGGTTTTGGAAACTATTTGCCAACAAATTTTTGAATTATGACCATGTTACCTGTCAGGTAAAAGATATACAGCTATCAAAACCGTACATTAAAGACACCATTATGAGACACACTCAATGTATCACAATACCAGACTCAATCTCAATGAGTTCAAAACTGCCTAAAAATCAGGAAAGCACCACTTCACGCGTTTCACTGTTTGTCACGCTACTGCATAAACCAAATTCGAAACTTACGTAGGGTGCAGTCCTAATAATGGTTACAAAAGTACAGGCATATTTCCTTTTTCAAATTCATGTACTTGCTCAAGCTCCAAGCAATATTACAGTCGCCTCCCATACTGATTATGGCAACCTTCAGTCAATTAAGAGGGCTTAGAATTTGTAAAATGATCAAATTGTTCCTTGATGTTGATTTTCTTCAAATGAGGATATGAATGTCTTATGAACTATGAATACTTTTAATCATTCTTTAGAGGTGGGGTGGACTCTCTGATAGAGATCTTATTAAAACGTCACATGATTGCTACAATTGTTTGCAAATTTATGAGACTGGCAATGAAAAGTTACCAAACATCAGAACATAGTAAAGTATCCAAGGCCACAACCTTTTGTCATCTCAAAAACTGCTAAAAAGAACACAACGCATTGCTTTGAAAGCATTGCCAGCAGAACTACTTGAAGCCCCAATATCACTAATTAGCTAGAATTGCTGAAGTTCCACTCGAATATTAGTACCCTTTAAAAGCTTATCAATGATTTTATAATCTAACTGCAGTTGCACAATACCTCTACTGGCTAAAGGTTCATCAAATTAAGCTATAACCCATTATCTTTGGCACAGAGAGAGAGAGAGAGAGAGAGAGAGAGAGAGATTGATATTCACCATACAGCAACTAAAAGCAGGCAGCCAAATGCCTTCTCTTAGCTGCTTTAGTTTTAATTTCTTCTTTCACACCAAAAAACCAACAGAGGCCTAAAACTGACAGTAGTAAAAGGGCAATCAAGAACCCATACCGAATCATCAATTCATAGTAGATTCGCTTCAACTCCAAGAGTGATGGAATATCAGCAGGAGCCTCTTCCACTATATTTTCACCTTCCTTCGGTTTTTTCTTTTCTTTTGAAGTATCAGCTTCAAAAACTCTTGGACTGATCTTTCTTGAGAGTATTTGTGCACGCACATAATCCCTGCGATCTAAACAAAGACGAACCTGCAAAATCGTGACATCAAATGGTGCACAAAGTTCCTGATATCTGTCCTGGCTTTAAGAACAAGTAATGGAAAGAGTTTAAAGCGTACTTGTTCAAGAATAAAAGCTATTTTCTCCGTTTTCGCCATTGCACCAAAAGTTTCCACCTGAAACATCATATTTGCTACTAATTAGGAAAAAGGAACACGTTGACAAAAAATCAAAATTAGCAGCATGCCCAGTTCACAACAACCAAACACAACAAACATCTATATATCTAGATACATATCTAAACATATGGAACTTGGCACACTAACCGCAATCTCTTGCATCAGATCAGCTGCCTCAGCAATCAATCCTTGGTCTTCCTTGATCTTTGCAAGTCTCTTGATCAACCGAGCCCGTTCTATCTCAACGTAAATCTACGGGGTCACCAAGAACGACCCGAGTAAGATGAAGAAAAGAAGTTTCCAAAAAATAAATAGGTCACCAATTTACAAATTCAACTACTGATTCACCTTCCCAGCAGATACGTTGTTAAGAGTCTTAATGAGCTCTATCTTCGTTTCTAGGTCTGGTGTCTGATCAATATATTGCATTGCCTGCTGAACCATGGCTTGTACAGCCTGCAGAAAAGGAAGGCAGATTGGAAACTATTACTCGGGGTTTTGGCAAAGGATGTGGTTTAGAACCACATACAGACCAAAAAAATAAAAAATAAAATAATCAAACTGAAGTTAAAAACTGAAATTGTAGATGGATCATTTCAGATGTACAACTTACTAAGCCAGCACTACCAGACAGCGACAACCATCCAATGCAGATGTTACTGTCTCTCTTCATAGTGACACTAGAATTTACAGAAAGAATATCTGTTTCTGTCTTTACACACACTACTCTTCCTAAGGTATATGACTAAGCAAAGAAGAACAACTACGAGCAAAAGAAAAATTCAAGGACACACCAACAGTAGGGCACGCCTGATGCCTAAGTAAAACAGATCATTAACCAAGAATTTGTTCAAGTGCCCATTATTAAAATAAAACTTTTGAAAGGCACAAAAATATCTCACTCCGATCTTAGCTTTTGATCCTTTGCAAAAGAAAGAAAAGTACACAATCAATCCGGCGGTCTCTTAAGAATAGGTGCTCATACCTTCAAAAAAAGAAAGTGATTTTACACAACCTAGTGTTGATAGCTGTGGATACCGGTAAACATACTTAAATCCACCCACAGAAGCCAAAATAATATAGAAATTACACTTGGCTATGACTGAATCCAGCTTAAGTCAATGAAAAGTCAGCGAATGAAAAGGCCCCATCAACCCAACTATAAAATGGTTGATTCAATGTTTCCATGGCTTGCAGGAAATGAATTATACCCAATCTCTTTAAGGGGATCCAACAGAAAACAGTGTTTCCAAGTTCATAAACTCATATTAACACACAGTGTGGCCTCAACTAACAGTATATTTAATTTAAAAAGTTGTCACTGAGTATGGATTTTTTGCTCAAACATGCTATGCTCTGCCTAAAGATCCACTCTCTCTCTCTCTTTCTCTCTCTCCAAACTTCAAATAAGTACAACAAGTGATAGCATACTTTTAGCTTCTGACTCTTCACAGAGTTCTCGGGGGGCAACACGAGAAAGGAGCTTCATACTGCCTACAGAAGAGTTACATGAGAGCCAACAACAAATGTTGCAAGTCATAAATAGCCCCCTAAATCCAATATAACTAACCAATGTGCCAAATACTTCTCAAAGAAAAGTCTACAAGCCATTGAAATAGGGGCTCCATCCCGTACATTCCTGTTCCATAAATTTATCTGAGATAACTATACTCCAAAACCCAGTAAAATCTTCTGCTCCAGTACAAATTTGTCCGTAATCCTTGATCTTATAGAATGAAAAGAACTCAAAAAAGGGTCATTGAGATTATGATAAAGCATGACATATCAATTTACTTTTCCACTACAAGATATGTATGGTTGTCAAACTGGAACAAGTCACTGTACTTCAAACCAGTGTAACAAGCCACAATCATGAGTAAAGAAGCCAAGCAATTGCGCTAAAACCATTTTCATCACAAAAGTAAATCAATGCAAAAGACATACTTTCAAGGTAAAGCATAAAGATCCAACTTATTTAGAATACTTGAATGCATGAAAAAGCACACACATATATTCTTTTGTGGAACTTCTGTCATCATGTTCAATATAGATCCTCCACCCAGCTACAAATATCTTTGCCTGAACTATACATATTCAAAGAAAGCTATAACAGGCCAACTAATTCAGTATATTAAAAAATCCAATCGGCAATCCTAAAGCAGTCAAAATTCTCCAACTTACAACTAATTCACCTGATCTACTACAAACACCACTAGCTTTGCAATTGTAAATAAACACCAACTAAAACAGAAAGCATTAGCTTGCTCAAAGTTCTGCAATCTACATACATTATATCTCCTGGAATATTTTCATAAACATGTTCTGAATACACAAAAAAAAAAATCAAATAAACGTGTGAATATATCTACAATTAATTCATATCTCCCATCACTTGGACCAAAAATCATAGTAAACCAATCAAAGCTAGGAAACGCAGAGGGCACTGAAGATCAAAACTGTCCAATCACATTAACATTTTCCCCAGAGAAACCTGTCAACTAATCAAAGTACACACCCACTAAAAAAAGCTGATTTTAAGTCAATAATCCAATAAAACCTTCCTTTCACATCTACATGTACGGTAATTTAAATCACCAAACAACCATTTTTCCGACAAATCAATTTCAGTTTACACAGAACATCGAAATTAAAAAGAAACCAATTAACTCAAAAACAAAACCTATACCTGAACAAATAAACAACAAATGCTTATTATTCATGTGAAACCAAATCTATATTTCTAGACACGTGTATAATTAAAATTTCTAAACCACACACAGGGAGACGAAAGAAACCAAACCTGTTTTAATTGTCCTCGGCGTTTGGACAAGAGAACAATCTGATCATTTAGGGTTTTCCAAGCGCGAGCTTCAAAGCAAAGCTGAAGAATCTCAGTAACGGCCTTTCTGGTGCCGGCGACGTCGCCATTCTGCCTCATCTGCTTCTCCTCATTCAACAAAGCTTCAATTCTTTCGTCCAATTTGCTATTGCTGCTATTCGCAACCCCTTCCTAAACCACCGGGAAAAACCCCAAATTAAATACAGAAAATTTCCAAAAATCAAAATACAATACGAATAGATCTGAGTCAGTGGAACCAAAACTGTAAAACTTCGACGAAATTTAATTTACCATTTTTGTTGACTTCAATTGACTGAGTATTTATGGATTGCTTCGTCCTCGACGTAGAACCCTAGAGAGAGAATGTGTGAAGAAGAAAGCTAGTAGTCGCAGTAATGTATTTTTGGTGTAATTTATGAAAAAGAAAACATATAAATAGTGAAAGTATTTTGGTAGCCTGCTTTTTCAGATTGCCCCTTCTTCAAGAAGGAGATATTTGGTGGTTGGGCACGCGCCTACTTTTTGCTGTCTTTTGGTTTTTAAATAGAGTTAATAACATTTTTGCCCCTTAACTTTAACGTAGTCACACTTTATCACTTGAACAACATTTTTTTTTTAGCAATTGAACTCTTTTAGTCTTTTATAGTACAGGCCAGCTTGGGAGTAATGTAGACATTAACGACCAATTATAGATTGGATACTCATCTTAAGTAACCTTTTCGATGCTAGCGAAGATTTTTCTCTCGCAGAGGGCAAAATGGTGCTCCACCTCTACGTATTTCTTAGATGAAATAAGGGTTGTTGTCCGTCATTCTACTTTATCCAAGGAAAAAAGTATCCAATATTCATGAGGCGACATGTAATTTTGTTCTGTTGGTCCTTTTATTCGACTCAAATCACCACCTACCAAATACGCATGTCTTATATGTTAAATGTCAAGTGAATGTGATGACGATAAAAGAAAAAGGAAAAGTATTGTGAATACTCAACGGGTGTCCATCACCAATCACGTTTTACCAATTAAGTAAGTTAGGTCATATATGTCAAATGGCCAAAAATGACTATTACAGAAAGAGAAGTATTGAGTACTCATAGGGTAGCACATGGAAGTACCATGAAAAAACATAATTAGGTTGATCGCCAATCGTGAAAGAGGGATCAATGCAATTGTAGATTCAACCATTCTGAGCCATGAGCAACTTTTTGCGGTTGCACCTACAACTACACTGTAGAGATCTCAGATCAACTAATTTTTTATCTATCAATTATGTAAGTTAGATCTTACATGTCAAGTAACTATTACTACTAAAGAAAGGAGGCCATTTATAATTAGTGTGATTGGGTATGATAATGCACAAGTACCTAACAGGCAATATTCAATATTGTTGAACTCAATTAAGAGAGCAATGATTGTTAAACTCACTATGAGGTGGCTCAAACAAATTTCTATGAAGAGAAAGTAATTTAACTTTCATTTGCAAGTAATTTTTGGTTGAATCTTTTTGAATATGGGTTATACGGATCAAATTTCAAGTTGGAAGCAAAATACAACAATATGGTAATTACGTTTGTTTCCTATCTATTTAAAAGGGAAAAGCTAATTTTGTATCTGAATATTCATACCACAAGTAGTATCAAAAACACAAATTTATAGGAGTGAGTTATTAGTTGTTGGGTGCTGGGTATTGATTGGTGTTGAGTGCTGGTTATTGATATTTTTTTTTTGTTTTTGATGTATGTAAATTAATAATAGTTACTATCTAGAAAATTTTTTAGATTCATTGTATCTTACTCTATTGTAAGCCTATATATAGGGCTCATACCAATGTAATATTAGTTAGATAAATATAGAGATAATATTTCCTCCAAACCTCCTAATTTCTTTACATGGTATCAGAGTAGGGATTTTAGGGTTTCTACTCGAAATACAACCTTGAGAGAAGTTTGAATGTAAACCATAGCAGAATGACCTAAGATTCTGTAAGGTAGGAAAAGATAGACCGACTCCAATCTTAAAAACTTGGTTGCAAGGATGAAGGAAGTTTTGAACAAATATCAGAACCCTATACTGAGCAATAATTCTTCTGTGTAAGGGTGGCAATGGGGCGGGGGACCCCTCCTCCACCCCTCGCCCCGTCCCCTGCCCCCCGCTTCCCACGTCCCGCCCCACCCCGCTTCCCCCGCGGGAGGCACTCGTGGGGTTAAAAAAATTTTATTATATACTTTCATTATAATTAAATTTTAACAAATAATCAAGTACTAAAATATCAATACATCACCAAATTATTATTCATTGTAATTTTACAATTAAAACTCATAAAAATAATTAAATAAAAGTTATTTGAATACAATCTAATATGATAAAAGAAATATAACTAAAATAATCAAATTTTCACTTTTGATACAAATACAATCACTAAATTATTATTTTATTTTTTTTAGAAAAAAGTGTTATTGTATTAAGTATAGTTAGGAAATTAATATAAATGTATTAATAAATTTAGTATAAATAATTAATAATTTTTATTAATAGACATGTATAATTAGTAGTATAATTGATAATATTAATTATGTTACATGCACTAATATACATTAAATGATACATATAACTAATAATATCATTATTATAAATTTATAACTAATTAAATTAAAATTATATATATAATTATGTACATATATATATCTTTATTTTTTTAAAACGGGTGCGTGGCGGGGTCCGTTTCTAAACGGGGGAAAAATTCCCTCCGCCCCCGCCCCAATAGCCCCGCGGGCCCCCGTCCCCATTGCCATCCTTACTTCTGTGGTTCAAATTGGCATCAAGTTAAATGATACCAACTATGTCCTTTGATTCCAAGTTGTCGAAATGTATATTTTTGGTAAAAATAAATTGAAATACACTAATGGTAATCTTTCTCAACCATTATCGACAGATCCTACATATAGACAGTGGTGAACTGAAAATTCTATCGTGAAAGGATAGCTAATAAACAATATGGATTCATCCTTAATCGGCAACTTCATTTGTTTCCCTAACACAAAAGTGATATGGGATGCAGTTTCTATAATATATTTCGATGGAGCTGATACATCCCAATTGCATAAATCTGTGAAGGAAGATGATCAGGATGAGACAATCTACAAGGCCGATTGAGAAGTGTTACAACAACCTGTAAGACTTGTGAAGAGAGATCGATTTTCGTAGACCAAACTCAATAGATTGTACTGTCGATATTGACAGGTATAACTCTCCTATATAAGAAGAAAGGATGTACATTTTTCTCAATATGTTATATAATTGATTGGATAAGATTCGCAATAATGTGCTACAAATGAAACTATTCCCAATAATGGAAAAGGCGTGAGCCTATGCTCGACATGAAGATGTCAGACAATCATTAATATTAATAGGAAGAGACAGCAAATTAGCTTTATCATGACTTGTAATGAAGCGAAAAAGTGGGCCGATCATGTTACCTCAAATCAAGTTGTCGACTAAGGGAGATAGTTGCACTCATTGTGAGAATAAAAAAATACCCGTGATACTTGTTTCAAGCTATATGGATATCCAACATGGCAAAAGGAGTGCAAAGGACAAAATTGGCAAGCTGATCAATTGAATGTTGCTAATGGAAAAGTGACCACAACAGTTACTGATCTAGCAGTGTTAGCCACAACTTTTAATATTGCACAAGTGTCTTCTGTCTCTTGGATCAATACCTTAACAACGTATTAGCATTAAGGTAATTATGGTTCTCATCGATGTGATAGCGACTAGATAATCAATTTAGGAGCCACAGATCACATAACCTATGATTCAAATTATTTTTTATCTATTACTCAATTAAGACGATCAATGATCTCTAATGCCAATGATATTAAATATCTAGTTATCGGGGCTGCAACTATTGTTTTATTACCATCTCTCTTATTACTTAATGCTTTGTTAATTCATTGTCAAATAATTGGTCGTCATGCTAGTAGAGAGGATTTATACTGTATAAGTAATTTCAGTCCATATAGAACAAATCAGATGAGAGGCACTAAGAATATTGATCTCAGAAAATTCCAATTATAGCATTAGTAGCTAAGACATCCATTTTTTTGAGTACAAGAAACACGTCTTCTGACTTATTTTTTAGTGTTAATGCTATTGATATAAAATGTGAAATTTGCATTTTTGCTAAGAGTTAGAGAGTTACCTATACAATCAATCTGAGTAAATATAACATTCCATCTGCTTTAATGCATTTGGATGTCTGGGGAACTTTACCGATTCTTTCATTTGCTGGTATTCGTTGCTTTATAACCTTTGTAGATGATTGCACTCTCACGACTTAGTTGTATTTATTGAAGTATAAAAGTACAGTGTTTGATGTTTCTAAATCATTTCAAACAATGGATGTGTTTGAATTGGCCAAATTTGCATAATTTACCTAAGATTTTTTACTTCTATGATTTGGTTTATTGGAACATAAGCCGCTCATTTATTGTTGCAAAATGACTTGCTTTTATCATAGAAGAAGTTGGCAAAAAGGAAACCATGCCGGATCGTAAATTCCACAGGGACTTGCGGGACCCATTTTCCTTGAAGTACTCCATGCCTCAATTTGCTTTTTTGGTCAAATGAGTGGTCTCTTCCGTTTGAAAATGCAAGGCGTCCGAAGTGAATTTGCAGACTTTCTGACTAAACATTCTACATTATATGGCAGCGTGGTGGTTAATTAAAAACGCATGCGCATGTTGTTTGGTTAGTACTTCTGTGAGAACTCGCAAATTTCTTGTATTTTTCTCAAAAATACCCTTTTATTTGAAATTTATTATTTATCAAAGCCCACTACCCAATTATTCCACAATAAGTGCAGATGAACCTAGAAAATAGGGTTTACACTTCGGTTTCAAGATTTGAGCAAAATTAGGGTTTCGCGATTTTTCCGCCGGATGAATTTTGGGTACTGGCCAAGGATCAATTTGATGATTAAAAGTGACTTTTAAGTGAGAAATAATATGTGAGTAGTAGCAATGATATAAGGTTAGTGAATGGGAAGTAAAAACCCTAGTACGTGAGTTTTTAAGAAAAACGGCGCGAACCGGCGGGTCTCGCGCACTACCGATTGAACGCACCGCTTGACCACCATTTTTCCTTACCAAACAAATTTATTGAACTTGAGCAAAATATCTTCTCTCTTGGCAGCAAGCTTGACCGAATTTGAGGCTAGAAAATAACAAGAAACAAAGAGAAAAAAAGAAAGGTGGTGGTGGCGACACCTTAGAGCTTCTTGACCAAAGACAAGGACTCTTTATTTATTATCAAAATTGCACCTTTTCTCTTCAATTTTCTGCTGAAGAGCCGAGAGAGAGAGAGGGGAAAGAACAAGAGAGAAAACTTCTTCATTTCATCTTGAATCCAACAACTAAGTGAGGAATCAAACAAAAGAAACCGATTAAACTTATTCTTGAGTGATTAGTTAGTGATTTGTGGTGAGACTTTGGAAGGAGAAAG